AAGAAGAAGAAGAAGAAGAAGAAGAAAAGAAGAAGAAGAAGAAGAAGAAGCAGCCCTTCCCTGAAAAATAAGTAAAACACTAAGTGGAATGTGGGTCCTGGAACAGAACAAAGACGCTAGTGAAAAAGTTAGGGAAATCCAAGTTGAAGTCTGGAGTTTAGTCCATAGTATTGTCCCAATGTTAATTTCTTAGCTTTACTACAAGTACGTGGTTAATGAAATGTTAACATCCAGGGAAGCTGGGTGAAGGGGATAAGGGAACCCTCTGTACTAGCTTTGCAACTCTTCTCTGAATCTAAGGCAAGGGGTAAATGCTGACAGGATTTGCTGACCTCACCATGAGTCCCTCATCTGGAAGCTGCTGGCTTTACAGAGCGAAGGACTGGCCCGGTCAAGCCCCAGTGGGGAGCTAGCTGGGAGACACTTTGCAAAGATGAGGTGCTGTCGTCAAAGGTGAGGCTGCTGCCCGTGCTCTGAACCCCTAACAACACATGGTGCTGTTGTTCATGGGTATGAACCCCCAGGATCTATGGGACAGGGCTGGGGCCGGGCGGCTTAGATTACACCCGTGACCTGCTCTCGGCATCATCATGCTCAGTCTCTGAACTGGCTAAGGCGCAGGTGTGGGCATGCAAGGAAGGAATGGGGCCACCAGGGCTCACAATAATTCCTTTGGGGTGGCCCCTGAGATTGCCCTCTGCCATTTGAGGCTTTTTCGGACACTAGGGAAACAGACAGAGGAGGGGTTCAGAGCATTGGGCTGATGACTGACTTTGAGGCTTAGGGGTCCTGTGATCGTTACCACACCTTGGAGTGGACAAGAAGGGTGTGGGAGGAGCCAACAGAACCCCTGGAGCATCTGGGTGCTGTTTGCTGGGAAAAGGTGAGCAGCAGAGCCCGGTCCAGGATCCAAACGCCTCAGGAATAATGGTTAGAGTCCCCGCTGGGCCAGACAGCCCAAGCAGCACGATACCACCTGGAGGGAGCAGAACGAGGACTGGGTGGGAGGAAGAAGGAAGCCGTAGCCCTGTGGCCTGTAGCCGTAGGGCTGTGGCCCACACCTGCTTTTCCTTTCTTTTTTTAAGATTTTATTTATTTGTCAGAAGATACAGAGAGAGCACAAGCAGGGGGAGGGGTAGGTAGAGGGAGAAGCAGGCTCCCCGCTGAGCAGGGAGCCTGACGCAGGGCTCGATCCCAGGCCCCTGGAATCACGACCCAAGCCAAAGGCAGACGCTTAACTGACCGAGCCACCCAGGCGTCCCTACCCTTCCTTATTAAAAAAATATGAGAATTATTGTATTTAAATATTCTCTTTCTCATTCCTCTTCTTTTCCTTCTCAAGTATAATGAGATTGGCTGAACTTACTCAAGGTTGCAGAATGGTAAGTTGGGGGTCAGGATGGAATTTTCAGGAAGGAGTTGGGAAAGCAGTGGACACTTCCCCGGAGATCCTAGATTCTGACCAGGGGCCCATGACCTCCCCAGTAGGCCCAGGGCATGCCCTCGAGGTGGGGCCCGCTGAGCGGGGCTGAGTTTGCAGCTCTAGCGGGATCACTGTATTATTTTAGGTTTATTTTCACCTACTTTGCCGTCTTTCTAGTCATCTCCCAAGCCAGAAGCCCATCATCCCTGACAACTCCCTCTCCATCACCCATCACTCCGCGAGATGTCAAGATCGGAAAACTTCATTTCCCAAAGAACTCCTCACCCCACCTCCCACTCTAGACTTAAGACGGCAACTCCCCCAATCTAAGGACCATCTCCTTAACTGTCTCTCCGCCTCCATTCTTTCTCCTTTCAATCTTGTCAAAAGCCAGTTTCCTTCTAAATGCAAACATTGCCAACTCACACCCCAGATGAAGGTGGGTGACGCGAAGACCCTTCTGCTCATCTCCAAGCCCACCTCTCTAGCAGTGAATTCCAAAGATCTAGGCCTCTCCTTGGACAGTCCCACTCCAACCCGGTTGGTGTTTGTATTCAAACCCTGGTTCCTACATTTTTCCCTTCTCATACCTATGCGTCTGTTTATACGGCCACTTCAGCCAGATTTGCCATGCATCTGCCCATTTACAACTTCAGTGTTTAGGATTCAGCTCCGGATATCACCTCCTTCTAGAGGCTTTTACGGATTTTCCCTCCCAGGACGCAACTCACCCATTTGGCTGGATTAGGCTGCCCTCCTCTGGGTCCCCCTGACTCCCCCCACCACACACACAGACTTTGCACTGAATGCATTGTATCATGTGAGTCCTTCTGATGTAGTTTTTGAATGTAGGTGAGGTTTGGTGGAGTGAGGTCCGGAGCCGACAGCCAAGAAAGAATTCTTGAGACGTCTTTGGTGCAAAATGGTGGTTTTAATAAAGCACGGGGACAGGACCCGTGGGCAGAAAGAGCTGCTGCATCAGGGTTGTGAGGGGTGACTTGATTATATACTTGGGAGTTGGGGGTAAGGAAAAAGCGAGGTTTTCAAAAAGAATTTTTGTATGCTAAAGAGGACCTACAAGATACTGGAGGCCTTGCCATTGTCAAGTTAAGGTGGTTTCTCCCTCTAGTAAAGCATTAACAGTAAGACAGTTGGGAGTTTCCTTCTGGAAGTTAGGTTATTGATAAGAATGGTTTTTTGGGAGACTCCTGTCTTGCAGGACTGGGATCTCTATGAGTTAACCATTTGTTTTTCCTTCCCTTAGCTTTAGGGCAGCGGGGAGTACCTGAGGAATGTCACACAGATCCCACGGGGGGGGGGGCGGGGAGGGGCAGGGCTGCAGGGTGTCCCCTTGTGCTCTGTCCTCCGCTTGCCTTCTGCGCCCTCATCACTTCTGTGGTTCCATAAGACTATAATCTCCTTGCTAACAAGGCCCAGGAATCCGCATCCTCCTTAGCAGGAACCAGCTTCCCTCCTGCTAATCAAATCCTGTCGCTCGGCTGGCTGCGTCCTGCCTGTTGCAGCCGGTGGGGAACACAGTTCTTTTTTTTTTTTTTTTTTAAAGATTTTATTTATTTATTTGACAGAGAGAGACACAGTGAGAGAGGGAACACAAGCAGGGGGAGTGGGAGAGGGAAAAGCAGGCTTCCCGCTGAGCAGGGAGCCCGATGCGGGGCTCGATCCCAGGACCCTGGGGTCATGACCTGAGCCGAAGGCAGCTGCTTAACCGACTGAGCCACCCAGGCCCCCTGGGAACACAGTTCTTAACTGGGCTCACAGGGAGGTCCTTCAAGGCTTCACGCATCTCCCTCTTGGGCCTCTGTCTGCCCCGTCCCCCCGCACGACCCACTGGCCTGCAACAGTTCACGCGGACCTTGCCCGTGGCCCTGAGCGTCTGTCTGTCTGCTGTGTGCCCCACACCACTGCTGGTCCTTTCGCAGAGTAGCACTTACTGACTTCATTGCAAACTCAGTTCCCGCCACGTTCGCGCTGCTACTCTTCTCTCCCTAGGACCTAGCACGGAACAGACGTTCCGGAACATTACATAAATCATGACATCATGACTTTACAAACTCTTTTTGTCGTCAGGCCCTCTGGAGTGACTAGGAGGAGGCCCACAGGGTCAGACGTGAGATGGGGAAGAAGGGCCCCCCCAACTCTGGCCCTCAACCCAAACTACTCTGAGTAGGAATGCTGGCTCCTAGGAAGAGAGTGGAGGGAAAGACGGGACGGCTCCAGGGAGGGGTAGACATCCCTAAGGGTGCTGTCCGGGGTCTCAGGGCGTGGCCAGCTCTTGGGACCCCACCACAGAAGGTGCCAGTTGCTGAGCCCAAGAAGCTGTCCTCGAGGGCCTCCAAGTGACCCAGCGGGTGGAGGAGAGGAGAACTGAAGGTGGGAGTGGGGCATAGCTCCCCAGTGCACGGGCCAGGTGTCTACTCCTGCTGTGGCCGAGAGAGGGTGGAGAGTCCCCGGGTCCCTGGGAGTCCCTGGACACTGGGTTCCCGGTGAAGAGCAGGGCTGAGGAGGGACAGATGGGCAGGGGGGCGGGGCCCCAGGGCCCTCAGCTTATCGCACACCCGCCCTTCTCCTTGAAGGGATTCTTGTCCTCAGGGATACCTTTGAGGAGAAGGTCGTTTCCTGCTTCAGCCTCCACATAATCCTTGATTTCCTTTCCTGTCTTGGAAATCTGTGAGAAAACAAAGGGTGGTTCCAGCCCTCGTTTGTCTGTGGGCATCCATGATTTGCTCGGTGCAGGAAAACAGGGCCTGGACAGGGGGCTGGGGAGGAGAAAGAGAAAGGGGCAGGTGGGGGTGGGGGGTGAGTGCTTACCTCCGAGGGGCGCTGGGCCAGGTCCGCTGTGGCCTCCAGGCTGCGGGGTTCGCTCCTGGCCCCTCTGTGGGGCTAAACCCCAGCCTCCCTGTGCAGCCTCGCTTGGCCCAGAGGCACCTCCCACTCCTGCCCCTTCTGCTGTTCTGTGGAGGCCTCACCAGCCCGCCGCCTGTCGCTTCCCCTGGGGGCCAGGCTCTGTGAGGACCAGGACACCATGGCGAACAGAGTCAGGGAAGGGAAGAGGGGACTCACCAGGGTTCGTGGGGTCTTGACTTCCTTCTTCAACTGTTCCACCTCCATCTTCAATAGCTCCTTCTCGCTGAGCTCCTGGGCCATCCTGCTCCAGAGAGACCTGCTCCTGGCAAGGGTTCCGTGGCTGAGATTGCAAATCCCCTGGGCTCCCCACAGAAGCTCCCTCCTGCACTTTCCACACCTCAACTTCCACCCTCTTCCCTGTCCATCCCCTCACTTCACACGGCAGATTAATTCCCACCCCGCCCCATCACAAGTCCAGGCTCTGGAGGAGAGGGTGGTACCCCCAGTCTGATGGAGGAGGCACAGCCCCCAGTCTGATGGGGGAGGCACAGGCTCTGCCCTTGGAGTAGGATCTGTCTATGGACGGAACAGGAATCAGAGCATGGAGAAGGGAGAGAAAAGGAGTATCTTTCAGTGAATAGAATTCGGGAAGCCAGGTTATTGTTTCACATAATGGCACAGGTAGACGTTTTCGGGAAACAGCAGGTCCTGCCAGGGGAGAGTGTACCCTAGTGGTTAAGCGAAAGGCTCTGGAGCCTGCCAGACTCCAGTTCTGATCCTGGTTCTGCCATTTCCAAGCTGTGAGGCTTAGGCAAGTCACTCAACCTCCTTGAGTCTTAGTGTCCCTGTCTGCAAAATGGGTATAATAACAGTACCTACCTTGTATGATTTTTGTGAATCCTAAGAAAATAATGCATGTAAAATATTTTAACCCTCTGTATGGCACATCATGACTATTATTATTATTGTTATAGTTACTGATATCATCATCATCGGGACAGGGTTATCGGGAAGGCCTGGCGGGGGCCCAGCTTTAATAATTCTAAGACTAGGGCGCCTGGGTGGCTCAGTTGGTTAAGCGACTGCCTTCGGCTCAGGTCATGATCCTGGAGTCCCTGGATCGAGTCCCGCATCGGGCTCCCTGCTCGGCAGGGAGTCTGCTTTGCCCTCTGACCCTATCCCCTCTCATGTGTTCTCTCTCTCATTCTCTCTCTCTCAAATAAATAAAATCTTTAATAAAAAAAATAAAATAATTCTAAGACTAAATCCCAGCCCAGTGCAACCTCAGCCCCTCTCACCTGCCAAGAAAGAGCGTGCACTTCAAGTCACTGGTCTTCGACTCAGACAAGATGGTGTTTGAGCTTCCCGGCTCCTCAGCTTCTGAAAGTCTTCAGATAAAGCAGATGGTCTGAAAGCCAAAATCTCTAATGCCTAAGCTGATCATGGGCTCAAGGTCCTAAGCCCATCCGCTGGCTTGAGCCTCCAAGCCCTCACTGCCACTGGAGCGGACACCCTGCCCCCTACGTCCGCCTTGCTCCTTTCGAGACCCGTCTGGCTTATAGCCAGTTCTCACCCTCAGCCCGACACACTCCCCTCCCCGTGCCTTGTCTGCCAAGCCCTCCCGTCCGCTACCTCTGAGCCTGCTCTGAGACTATTCTTCTCAGTGAAGCAAGTCCTAGACCAGCTCCTAACGTCCCTCACCCAAGAAGCCTTTGTGTCTCCCATTGGAGCCCCGTGATTATACCTTACAAGCTTCTCTTAGCTCAATCTTCCTTCACGCATTCAATAAAAATGGACTCCTTACTTAGGATGCTGTTCTTGTCAACACTTGGGGCCATCGCCACCTCCAGTGCCTGTGTCCATGCTTCTTGGCCTCCATGCCTTCTCTGAGCCTTGAGTGTGGGTCTCCCTCACCAATCGCTGAACACAGGGCCCACATCCTGATATTTCTCTCGGTCTCCTTCCAGGACCACCCAAGGGCTATGCTGTTTAATAGACACTAAG